CGCAGCTGTCCCGCTCATCCCAGCTGCGATTCCCCGGACGCCCCTCCACTTCCTTCCCTTCCCCAAACAATGACGGCGATTGTGCGAAAAGCTTGCGTGGAAGTGGCCAAGAAGGGATGGGAAAGGGTTAAGTTTCCCCCTTCTTCCTCCCCGTGGCGAGGGGGCCGAAGCCTGAGACGCGCGCAGACGTCCAGCGAGCGAGCGAAACCTCGGAGGAGATCATCTGTATGGCGAGGCAGCCTTTTCTCTCCGTGTGGAGAGAGGGAGGCTCGCGGGCTCCTCGTGAGAACGAATGAGCTCACATCAGATTAGCTCCTAATCAGAAACGGCCCTGTCAGGTTCAGCTCTCGCCTCATCCCTCCTGGAATATAAACGTGTGTGCAGACAGAGACATCCCCAGGCAAATATTTTCTACCGGGGGCTGATGGACAGAGGAAAGAGAGCTGGATGCTCTACAGATTCTGCATGTGCGCACGCACCCTCCCTGTTTAGCCTGGCTTGCTCGCCTGCCTTGGCTCCAGGGGGAACCAGCTGGAGTGCCTCTGGCTCCAGTGGAGGCAAGGAGGACCCCTCTGGCTTCTTCCGCCCTCCCACCCCCCAGTTTGTCAGCCAGAAAACTCCGGCCATGCCAGCCGTGTCCACAGGGTACGGCTGAAAAAGTCACAACAGCAGAATGATCACACCACTCTTGACTTTTTCAACCACAAAACCCCTAAGCCACATGGTCTGCAGCAACAGAAGAACGAAGATGTGAGTTCCCGAGGAACGTCCGCTGTTCCTTTCAGGCTTGGGCTGAGCGGACAGCCCTGGAAATGGACTTAATCGATAAAATAGTTCCCTTGTATGTGTAAACGCTCTAGAAGGGGGGGGGGAGTTCCTATTTAGTCAAGAGTTGTGTTCTAAATGGGGATTAGATGGCTGATTTGCCCAGTTCACTAAGCCAGCCCGTGCCTGGGGGGGGGGGCATGTCAGTTCAGCCAATGTTGCATATTAACCATGGTTTACACAGCCCAGTGTATCTCCCCTTCCCTTGAGGACACAGTGCAAGTGCCTGCACAAGGCAGAAGGTCGCATGGCCCAGTTTCGGTCTGGCCTCTGGAAGGTGCTCCCTGTTGAACTCAGGGAATTTGCTGTCTTGCTGGCATTCTCAAGCATCTTAAATCACATTTTTTGAGCAGGCTTTTCATGGCTCATGATCTGATTTTGATGGCTTGATTCAGGGGTGTCTGCAGGGTGGGGTTAAGGAAAGTCAAGATGGCAGCCACAATGGTGCCATTGAAGCTGTGCCCATTTTTTTATGCGAGGCACATAAAAAAACCAGGCAGAGCTTTGATTAGACTCTCATGAGTGCCATCTTGACTTTTTTTTAACCATGCCCTGCGGACACCCCTGGATTGATTGCAAAGGTTATAATTTTGGGTCTTAAGATAAACTATGAGATTTGGTAGTTAGTGGTATAAAAAAAATCACTGGATCAAATGAACTAAGGGGAAAAATGCAGTATGTAACCCTTTCTCTTTGTCCCCTATGCCAATTCTCTCTCTCTCTCCTTCCTCCCTCTCTGATATACCCTTTCTTCAAAAAGTGATCTTATCATCTGCAGAGACCTTTTGAAATTTGAGGGTCCATGAAATTTGCCCACAGATGCATTGCAACCTTAGGACGACAGATTGCCACACCTTCTGTCATGTTTTTGGCACAATTGGTAGAGTCGCTTGGGATCAAAAGTTTCCTTCTCTGAATAAAAATGGGCTGGTTTTTAAAAGAATCCTTGACTTACATAACAATCAATTCTATTATATCAAGATTTCTTCCAGAGGCATCCATGGGTGGATGTCAAATTCTGCAGCATTGCCATTGAAACCCCATTCTTCTTGTAACTCTGTGTCACCATCTTGCACCATCTTACTCCCTCCCCACCCCATGGATATCCCTAGTTACTTCTGAGTAGATGTGTCTGGGGTGGCAGAGACATGTCTAAATAAATATGGCCTTGTTCTCATAATGCCCTAAGCCATAATGTATGTGTTTGGTTTTGCCTTCACCCATTGTGTAAATGCACTATGGGTAATGGTTTACTTGTCATGTGAACCAAACCAATTTTGATTCATTCAATAAACCATAGTTATAGATGACAATACCTCACCTTGTCTGGGCTTGGAAGCTAAGTAGGGTCATGCCTGATGGGAGATCAAAGTGCATGGGCTAGACCTGAAAGTAAAAGAAAAAGAAAAAAACAGAAGTTAATGACAAATCCTGTTTGTGGGGGTCTGCAGGGGGCATGTGGTGTGGAATGATAAAACATGCATCATTGGCATTATGATGCAGTACATAAGGGGGCATATGCATCATAATGTCATTGCACAAGGGTGATCATTTTGGCACCGTCGCAGTTTGGTGCAGACACTGCTGTCTGTTCTGTTGCCAAGTGGGCAGCCATGTCAATGTAGTCACCAGGAGTCAAGCATGATTCAAAAAGTCAATCTACTTTGAAACAAATTATGGCTTAGTGAGAATTGTGACCTTGTAAAAACAGTCTGCTTGGATTGAAGGGGGGGAGGGAGGGGGGGCGGAAGGGAGGAAGGAAGGAAGGAAGGAAGGAAGGAAGGAAGGAAGTTCTTTTGCCATCAAATTAAAATTGACTTACATTTATATATAAGTGATGTTTAATAATGTATTAAATCCATTCACTGTGGCATATGTTAGAGTGAAATCTGCCTTTGTCCTTAAAGAATCTGTCAAGAATCAGCTTTCTGGGCAGGTGACTCAGGCAGCGCCTGGGGCTGGATGTCAGCAACACATTTTACTAAGACAGAACTAACTTTCATCAGAGTGATCAGAAGAAAAGAAGGCAAGAAGAACAGGGAAGTGTACAGAAAATTGCAGCAACAGCCTGCTTTATGGGTCTGGACAGAAGGCTCACCAGTGCTGAAAGTCTCTCTCTCCAAGATTTGTATAAATTAAAGGAGGAGATCTTCCCCCCGCCTGCCTCAGGTTCTGTGTAAATTAAGCTGAGTTCAGAGCAGTGACTTATACAAAGACCTCAGAGAACCTGTCATCTGAAACAGGCATATGACAAAATCTTTTGACCTGGATGGAAGCAAATCCAGAGCAGTAAATCATGCAGAGACCCAAAGGGCAGCTTATAGTTTGACGAAGAGAAGGATTCTCACAGCCCATAATTTCAGCTCTTGGAGACACAAATCTTGCTCCTGCTTAAAGTTGGGGAATTATAGCTTTAGCTTCTCAGCACAAACACAAAAGATGCTCTGCAACTGCTCAGAAGCATAACTTACAGCTCTTTCCATATTCAGCAGTTGCCACAGAAAACATGTCCAAGGTGAGCTCTGATAAACTCTATCACAAATTACGCCCATGATGACTTCCGCCCATGTTTGGAATTAAATGTGGATAGAAATGTTGTGCGCTAAAGATGTTCAACTGATGGCCTTTAAGCGATAGGAGCGATGAATTCCAGCAATTCTGGTTATCACGGCAGCTTTTCCCTACAAACCACACCATTCTTCTATACCAGGTTTCCCCAAAGTGGTCAATATTGACCCCCAAGGGTTGATGGGACTGTCCAAGGGATCAATGTTGTTGTTATTCATAGTACTGTTAGTTAAAGTAGTATTTATTAAATTATTTTCATATAATAAATGTTTGGAGGTCGATGAACTATCTGAAATGTCATGAAGGATTTGATGAGCTGAAGAGTTTGTGGGCCCCTGCTATATACAGAGTAAGGTGATAACATTTATCTTGCCGCATTGGAAAAGCATAACATGGCTTCATGCTTCATGTTAAAACACACAGCCCCTCAAATCCAAAAGACAGAACTCTGGGTGAGCAAATGTTGGCAGGTTTTCATAGTAATAGGTTCTGTTTCACTGCATCTCCATGAGCTTTGGGTATTGAGAATGTGGCCATTGTCCGTACTTCTTTAAAAAGTCCAATTAGGGGCACATGATTCATGATTAACAGTGTATGTCTCTGCAATTTTAAAAAGGCTTTTTAAGGTTGAATGTGCCTCCTGGTGACTTCATGGACACATCCAAGTGCTTTTCCCGGCAACCGTACAGAAGTGGTTTGTGCTTCCTTCTTCCAGAATGTTTTTGTAACCACTTATACTTTCTTTTTTTCTTTTTTTTTTATACTTGTACTTTCCTGGGAGTTTCCCATCCAAGTAAAATTGAAGCCAGTCCTGCCTTTTATTGATTGATTGATTGATTGAGATTTCTTTTAAAAGATAATTGTATTAAGAATTATGAATGGAAAGAATAAAAACAAAGTACAAAAATGCAAAAAATGATTTATTTATGTTGAGATCAGACAAGATCTGCTAAGTCACAGGCTGGCACAAAGATACAGCCATCCAGATTTAGTACAGTTGGTCCTCATTTAGCGACCACAATTAGGACCGGCCACTTAGTCATTAAGAAGCAGTTGCTAAGTGAAACCATGACTATTTTTATGACCTAACTTCAGCTTTCCTTTGCATTGCAGACCTGTGAAGATCACAGACTTTCACCTTCTGGAATATTTTTTTCAACCTGGCATTCCCTGGAGGACTCTGCCCAAGAACTAATCAGGGTTGACCCTGGTTGACGTCTGAGCCCTGAAAGTATAATTTTCAACCAGTTATTGGGATTTACTTGGTAGTTAGTAATTACATCTAAGAGTGAAAATGTGGTCATGCAAAGAAAACATAATTCCTTCACTTTTGTGTTGTATTATTTATGTAATCTGAGTTGTTTCCTGACCTTACACAGGGAGATTTATCCCTACATTTTCCTTCCAAGTATTCAGGAAGTAGAAAGAGGAGGTGTACTTTATTCATTATTATACATTTATTATAATTACCACTCTTATAATTACTACT